GCAGGAGTCAGGGGCTTGTCGTCCATCTCTAAATGAGATGGTTGCTTGTGTAGTGTTGGGCTTCAAGGAGTTGCAGGGTAGCCCTTCCTGGGACCCTGGGGCTTTTGACTGGAGTTTGGCTCAGGTGATTGGGGATGTCAACCTAGAAGGCACCCTGAGGTTGGTGTCTGGCTTTCTGTTGGAAGGACAGTGCAGTGTCCGGAGGCAGCAGCCATTCTGCCTGCATCTGTGTGTCTGAGGCCTTCAGACTGCTCCAGACATTCCCTGAGAAAATGAGTGTCTTTTCCATTGATGTTCGCCCCCAACTCCTAAAACCACACACCCCTGTGGCAGGTTTTGCTCTTGAGACCCTGAGTTGACACAGGGCCCGTGTCCCAACAGTTCTGCTTTCTGTACTCTCAGGCGTGGGGTTTTCCTTGATCTGCCTGCCTCCAGCCTTGTCCCACTGCGTGTTCTGGAATAATTTTTCCCAAATGCAAACCTTGCTCCCTTCTAGATGTTGCTCCTTGCCTGTGGAATAAAATCTGGATTCCTGGGGCCTGTGAAGACTTGGGCTTACCCTGCCCTCACACCCTCGCTCTGACTAGTAAGGCCCCTTACAAGCCTCTGTGCCTGTCCTGTGCAGCCCTCCTTGCTGAAGCCCCAGCCCTTGCCTTCTCCTTACTCAGCAGTGTTTGGCTCAAGCATCCTCTGTTTAAAAGCCTTTCTGGTGTTGCTGCCATAGTTGCTTCTTCAGTGACGCACACAGTCCCGCGTTCCTTCTGTGTGGCTCTGCTGTGTGATTGTCACGTGTCCTCCACCTGTCTTAGCTGGCACTTTCAACCCAACTTACCTTACCAGGCCTAGCCTTCTGTAGACTGCCAGGTACACATAGGTCCATACTTTGTGCATGAAGACCACCTGAATCTGCCTGCCCTAGGGAGGACTGCCAGGCACCTGCAACAACAGCTGGAGTTGAGCTGGAGCCCGTGGCAGGGCTGTGGTAATAATCTCTCATTGATCACCAGCTGTCTTGAGCTCAGATGCATTTCCTGGAGAGGTCCCGACGCCCTCCCTGTTGGTTGAGTAAGCTGAGTGTGAGCAGTGCCAGGAGTGTTCCAGTAACTGCACACTGAAGGGGCTGATGCTGAAACAGTGCTGGGCTGTGGAACCCAATGGGTCCCCTTTGGCTGGAACCTGATGACTGGGGGAGCCTCGTAACTATGCAAGCAGAGAGAAAATTTTCCCGAAGGACCCCAGTTGACAGAGATTCCTGGGTGCCTTTTTTGCAAGACAAGTTTAATTTTAGGTGATTGAGCCTCCCATGTGGTCACAAAAGGGAGCTTAGTTTTGGAATTTGAAGTATTATGCGCATTATCAGAGCTGAGAGCCAAGGAGGCATATGGCTCCTTGCTTGTATGTGCTGCTCCTTTAACCTACTGAGTGAGAACAGTGGTACAAGGCAGGAGCCAGAGGGTCCACAGGCTGTGGTTCTCTGTCCACAGAGGTATTTTGGGCACCACTTTTGTATGCCTTCCATTCCACTGATGGGAGTAGGAGAAAGGGCAGAATTGCTTCAGCCACCCTGAGCTCCTCCCTAGGTGCGCTGTCTGTTCCGGGAGGGTCTGGGTCTGCGATTCTCCTGTGATGGGCTTGAAGGTGGCCTTGTGGGTAGATTCGGCAGTGCCTTACCCTGTGCCAGACATTGTTCAAGCACATTGCAGCGAGGCTGTGAAGGAGATCAGTTGCTATCCCTGTGTCACTGGTGAGGAAACAGGCAGAGAGAGGTGAAGCCACCTGTCCAGGGTGAGCAGGCAGGAAGGAGCAGGGCTGGAATTCGAGCCCAGGACCCCAGGGGCCTTGTTCTGACCATGGTGCCTCTGCCCAAGGTCAGAGGTGACCTAAAGGCTGGCCCTGGCCCATGGATGAGTTTGTTCAGCTCCACAGTGGTTTTCTTTATCTGTTTTTCATTGAGTTAGCTAAATGAAGCCCAGGAGACAGCATATAAAAATCTCCTGTCCAGCTCTCTAAACAAGCCCGCAGCTCTGAGGCTTCTGGTTCAGACCATGAGGTCCATCACCTGGAGCCGAAGAACCATGCCCAAGGCCACCCTGCTCAGAAGAGGCTTCCCCTGACCCCAGGCCTGTCCCACCCCTGCCAGACAGGCGTCTGGAGTATTCTAGAGCAGTGGGACGCTGCCTCTCCACTCTGCTCTCCTGCTGCCTCATTCCTCCCCTAGGCCTCCCTGTCCTGTTCCTGGTATTTCAGACTCACCAAGGTAGGCAAAACATAAGCTACAGGAGCAGGCCCTAAGTGAACTGATATCACGAGATTTCACTGCCTCCTGGTCTTTATGAAGTCTGTGGTTTGACAGATTACTAGTAGATGTTGAATCTTTGACAAATTTATTTTAGTGCCTTAAGATTTCATAATACCAAGGATTATTTCTAGATTTTGGAGTATTTGCTGGAGTCAGGCGTGATGTTCAAGCATGTATTAACTCTTGGTAGTATGCTGTTCGTTGATGGAGTCAGTGTGCCTGTCTCTCTCAAGGTGGGCTTAGTGCTGCTGATATGGCGAGAGGATCTGAAACTCGGAAATAAATGTGACCCCCACAGATATCCAGAAATTCTAGTTCCTTTTTCTTTTAGTTTTACTTCTCCAGGCCCCTATGGGGATGGAGGCTGCCAGGATTTCAGTAGGGAGTGCTTTGGGGGTCCCCAGGGCTAGAAAGGAGCAAACTGGCCTATCTAGTAGAAACAGTGTGAGCCACATGTGTGCGCCACATAGGGAATTTAAACCTTCCTGGTAGTCACATTTAAAAAGGCAAACAAGAAACAAATGTGATTCATTTTAATGATGTAATTCATTTTAATGACGTGTTTTATTTAACCCAGTTTACCCAAAACATTATAATTATAACATACAATCAATATAAAAAAGTTATGGCAGGTATTTAACTTCTTTATATGAAGTTTTTGAAAATCCATGGTGTACCCCCACTTGGTTGGTGGCCAGTGTACCAGACAGTACAGGAGTAGACCTTTCTGAGTGAGGACAGGAAATTGTCTGTGCGGTGCTCGGCTTCAGAGAGGCTGGCCTGCCCAGTCTTGCTTCAGGGGTATCTGTGAAACGAGTGGTCCTCCTCCTTCGGGAAAACACTGGCAGTAAACATCCGCCTACAGGCTGAGAGGGGAAAGCAGGAAGCCCCGTAAACTAAAAGGCTAACAGTGGGGTTTTCTCCCAGTAGTGAATTAGAGAGTGGTTTTTATTTTCTTTTGGTCTAGCTGTACTCAATTTTTTTCTAGTGTTCATAAGTTGCCATTAAAATTATTCCTTATTATATTTCAATGAAAAGACAGAAGGTTGAAGGGGACATGCTTCCTCTCCCACTCCCCCCAACCCATTTTCATGGCACCCTTGAGCTCTTAGGCCTTTAATTTCACCATGGTTATTTCTAATCTCAAGGTTCACCAAGGTAAGAAGCTCAAAAATGAAGGTGCTCATAGCAACCAGCTCGCCCATGTCCCACATACTCCTTATTAAGGTATCATGCTAAATGCTTTGACTTGTGATGAAAATATTATGATAAGCCAGAGAATTTGGGGTTGCTATGGAAACCTTCTCCATTCATTGTCCTCAGGGTGGGCTTAGCTGAAGGGGCCACACAGGTTAGCCTGTTTTCTTGGTTTCAGCTCATTTTTGGCCCTGTCATTCAGCTATAGGGCAGATTTGAGCCTCAGCATAAGGAATTGCCTGAGCATTTCATGCAGGGCTCCTGCCAGTCGGGGCATCTTGGTTCACCCCTTTTTGCTGTGAGAGTCTGCGATGAGAGCAAAGTTTTTTGGGGTGTGTGGCACCAGGAGTGTTTCAGAAGTGACCATTGGTTTTTGGCAAATGGCTCTGTCTCCTTCAGAGTCACTAATGGACTGAGGCGTGGGCAGGCCCCTCTGCAAGAACCGAGCCCAGCCTTCCCTCCTAAAGCGTCCCTAAGCTTCATCCAGGGGAACGGGAAATTGTGTTTGAACCTGACTGTGTGGGAGCAGCCCCCTTTTCCCTGGGACCTCAGAGTAACCTTGGAGACATGGGCCTTTTGCTTCCCATGCTTCTCCCATGGGTGTGGCTGTTGGCATCTGTGTTTGTGGGGAATGATGGGCTCACTGGTCAGTCAGGACCTGTAGGGCCATAGGGCTTGGTCATGCAGGGGGTGAGCCTTGCTGAGCTGTTTGAGAAAAAGTGGGAAAAAAGACCGATTCTGTCTGAGAAAGAAAAAGCACCTTTGCCTTGATTAATTCTGCTCATTTTGATGATAAGGGCGGGGGGTATCTCACCCAACCTAGGAAAACTCCACTTTTCTTTATTGGGGACTTCTCCGTTGGCTATCTTTGGACAGTCAGGAAGCATGTGCAGGGCCCTCAGTTTATTCCATTTCTGAGTGCAGATGGTCCCCGACTGACACTGGTTCCACCTACAGTCTTTCAATTTTGCAGTGATTTGAAAGCGATACATATAATAAATTGCATGAGATAGTCAACACTTTATTTTTTTTAATATTTTTATTTATTTCAGAGTGGAAGGGAGAGAGAGAGAGAGAAACATCAATGATGAGAGAATCATTGATGGGCTGCCTCTTGCACACCCCACACTGGGGATTGAGCCCACAACCCGGGCGAGTGTCCTGACCAGGATTCAAACCGTGACCTGGTTCATAGGTCGAAACTTAAACACTGAGCCATGCTGGCCGGGCGATAGTCAACACTTTATTATAAAATAGATTCTGTGCTCCATGACTTTGGGGCTAATGTAAGTGTTCTGAGCACGTTTAAGGTCAGCTAGGCTAAGCTGTTCGGTAGGTTAGGTGTATTAAATGCATTTTGACTTCCGATGTTTTCAACTTACTATGAGTTTGTTGGGACCTAAGTCAAGAAGCCACACCCCAGGCAGCTGGACAGAATCTTTGGCTCTGACTGGCTTGGTTGCTCATGTCTGAGTGTAAGTCCTTGCTCCTTCCCTCTGCACAGGGTCCCTGGACACAGACAGTCCTCTCTGCCTCCCCTACAAGACGCTGGTCTCCACGGTTGGAAGCATGGTGTTCAACGAGGGTGAAGCCCAGCGGCTAATTGAGATCCTGTCTGAGAAGGCTGGTGTCATTCAGGACACCTGGCATAAGGTGGGCCCACACTCTCCTGCCTGCGTTTAATGGCCTCTGCAGCTGGCCTTCCCCCCTCCCTCTCAGGGACCTGTGAATTGTAGTGGCTACCTGGTCCTGGGGTGGCCACACCTGGCTTGCCAACCTGCACAGGAAACAGCCTCCACTCACCTTTCTCGGCAGAACCCTGTTGCCCTTTTCCAAGCAGAAGCTGCAGGAATTACCCTGCAGATCCTTTGGATTCAGCTACAGCCCAGCCATGGCTGGGCCACTGAAACATAAAGAGCCAGGGCAGCACTCTGAGTTCCAGGGGGCTGGGGGTGCAACACAGGAGCGGGGGCCCAGCTGGTTTGTGGCCAGGGCTCTGGGTGCAGGAAGGAATATGTGTAGGGACACACTGAGTGAGGGAACCTTGTGATGGACCCAGAAGCACCTTCCCTCCTGCTGTTGGGGGCCAATTCAGATGCTGGCACCCACCCTCTGGTACCTTGGTGAATGAGCTGCCACCAGGAAGTGCTGCATGACACATATTTATTTCTTCCTTAATCAGAGTTGGAATTGTAGGTAATTTTGATGGAGAATTTTGTGGCAACTTAGTGGTTAGAGATGTTGGGGGGTGCCCTAAAAGGCCAGTGGGGGTTCCTCTACTCCTGGCCCTTGCTGAACTGTGATGTGTCATGCAGTTGCAGGGAGCTGCTCGCTCAGTGAGAATAGAGAGGGGGGTGTGTGTGGAAGGAGGTTTCCTGGCTGTGAGTGGCTGGAGGTCAGGATGACCTCGCTTCTCCAATGAGAGAGGCCTGAACTCCACTCAGGCTACTGTCCCAGAATACGCTTCCCCTCCCATGGCTTCTGTGCCTCAGCCAGGGATCTACAGGCTGCACCCAGAATCTAAGGGCTAGGCACTGAATCAGAAACAGTGGCCACTGCCCCCAGTGGAGAGGCCCTGGCCTCCATTGACCCAAGTTAATGGGAAACGCTATGCTCCTGAAAACTACCTCAAAGATCCAGTGCTTTTGCCAAACAGCTTCTAAGCACGTGGGTTCTGGAGGCCCTACAGACTGGGTGTCTAAGGCGGTGTGGTCGGGGGAGGCGGGGTGGGGGGGGCCTTTCCCCAGAAATGTCTGGAGTCAGGGTGGGACCTGCTTGTCTTGAAGTTCCTGCTCCCACTTCATCAGGACACTGGGTCAGAGTCTGCTGGGTTGGGGGGACAAACGAAGTGTGTCTGTACCCTCTGTTAATGTGGCTCTGTGGATATTTCCAGGCCACTCAGAAGGGCGACCCTGTGGCGATTCTGAAACGCCAGCTGGAAGAGAAGGAAAAGCTGCTGGCCACAGAGCAGGAAGACGCGGCTGTTGCCAAGAGCAAACTGAGGGAACTCAATAAGGTATGGCCAGCGCATGCCCCATCCTGAGAGCACCTGGGCTGCGGCAGTGCTGCTCCTGGGTCGGGGGGTGCCTCCCTACTCTGGCTCTGCTCAGGGCTGCCCATGTAACTGCCCCTTGAACCAACATGCACTGCGATTGTGGGAGCCTGAGGCCAGCCTGTACTGCCCCTGCAGAGCTCCGTGGGGTGGCGGCTTCCTTCTCAGGCTTAGGAACGCAGGTTGTTAAGTAGTGTGAGATGGGGTCATTGGCCTGTCCCACAGTTATGGGCCATCGTTTTAGGGTATACGCCCTGAAAAGGAGGATGGGCGCAGTTGACCCACAATTGTTTTCATGGGGCAGAGGGGGCTGCTTTTCTCCCTTTTCTTCTATCTGTGGAGCAATCTTAAGGGAAAGCCTGGCTCCTGAGTCAGCTGATGGCTGGTGTGTGACGTTTGTACTCAGTGAACAGCAGTCAGATGAGTCAGGACTCATGCACATGGGCTGCTCTCCCTGTCAGAACTCACTGGGGCTTCTCCCTCTCCTTCTGAGGAGAAAGTTCTGGTGTCCCAGCCCATGGGCTAGGTTTTGCCAGCCCAGTGCTGAGCATTGCCCTCTCCCTCTCCCTGCTCTCTGCCTCCTTTAACGGTGCAACAGGTACAGGGGGTGGCCTGGGCCTCCAGATGCCCCACAGTGTCTAGGCTGCAGCCCCTCCTCTGGGCACCTTCCATCTGCTCATTTGAGAAGACTCATAAGTGAGGCAGCCTGAGTTTCTATCCTAAATTGGAGGGATGTGGCTTTGAGCCAAATGGCATAGTTTGTTTGCGGGGGAAGGCAGGAGTAGAAGATGAGCCTTTGGTTGGTTACTCTTGGTTAATGCTCCGCCCAGGAGAAGGGAAAAAAAAAAAAAAAAGGCAGGTCTAGAGCTTGGTAGCTTCTGCTTAGGTTGGGGGTGTGGGGGGCTCAATATGTGGCCTTCACACAAGTCCATCTTGTGTTGTTGGTTAAATGCAGGGTGGCTGGAGCCATTTGCCCTGCACTCAAGAGCCGACTGCACATGTCTCTTCCTGGTAGACATGACATAGTATGCCCTAGGCCAGGAGCATTTACACCATGGAAGTGAGCCAGCTCTACAGATCAGAGCTCTCTCCCTAAGAGCTAGCTGACCAGCACAACATTGGTTAAGTGTTTATGGTTTAGGGGAGCCATTCTTCCATACCCTCTTACTGGACAAACTGGGAAATGCCTGTGAAAATTTGTTGATACCCCCAAAGTAAGGTTCAGGTGAGGGGAAAAAAGGAGTGAGTGTTCCCACAGCTGGCTGGCATGGGGTTGCCTGGCTAGTACCTTGTGCCTACCGCCTTGAATTTAGGAAGGGCTGCAGGTGTGATGAGTAAATAAGTGCAACCTCTGACGGTGATGCTGGCCTCTGTGGCATCTCTTCCCCACTACTGGTGTCTCCGGCCACTGTGGGCCAGTGAACCGTGCAGAAGGAGGCCCCTCAGACACTGCCCCTTGTACTGGACACTTACTGCTCTCCCTCAGTGGTGGTTGCTTCACGAGATTGCCAAAACCACAGTGGCAGCTAATCTACAGATACTCTCCTCGGTTCTATTATATGTCTAGCCCTCCCCTGGTAGATCTCCCTGGCTGCCAGCTGCAGGGGCCTGTGAGATATGCAGGGGTGCAGCCCTTGGTTTCATTACTCATCTCACCCTCCAGGAATCCAGGCCTTGGCTCCAAGGCGAGGAGATGTCTGAGGTGCATCCAGCCCTCCCTCCTCTGACTACATCCTCCTCCCTGCAGCCCAAGGAGGTCCTCTTGGGCTCCCAAGTGCTAACCTGGTCCTGCGAGGCACACTTTATGCTCTGCCATTAGCCTCAAATGCTCTTCATTGCTGAACTGGCTGGGCATTTTTTCCCTATCCTTGAAGACTCAATTTGCTCTCCCTCGGGAATCCTTCCGGAGCCCCCAGTTTCTTGTCTCAGCCCAGAGGTTGCCATTGCAGTCATGTGCCACTGTATCTGTCCCTGGTGACTCTAACCAGCTTGCTTGGCTCAGCCTAGCAGGCCGCCTGTCAGCAAGTGGCTGCTGAGGCCTGAGGCCAGCTAAGAAGATACAGCCTCTGATGTTTTGTAATTGTCATCTTTCCTCCCTGTGCTTCTGGAATCCATGGACATCAGGTTCCTGCATTTCTCTGTTGAGAGTTTGGGGCAGAACTGATGTGTTGATTTCATTCTTGTCATGTCTCCTACCCCAGGACCATTGAGGAGAGTTATATGAGAAACTAAATTTTGGGAAATGTGGAATTTCTCCTCTCATAAGGATCTGGTTCCCTCCACGTATTTTTGTTCTCCTTGTGGATTGTTTTCTGTGATGGATCCATGCTTCACAAATGGGTGAAGTCTCAGCAGAGTTGGGCTCAGGGACCATTTCAGGCACCAGCTGCAGGAGTTAACAGGCATAGGCACCCTTGACTTCTGTCCTAGCCTTCTGACAGTCTTCTGGCCCTGTGCCTGGGTTTGAGGAACCATGCATGGCTTTGGTGCAGCCCTCTGGAAAACCATCTTTCTAGCTGTTGTCTTCTCAGGCACCAGGTGCCCTGTCATGGGGCCTCTGTCCTGAGGCAAAGCTCTGGACTAGACCCCATCCTGTGTTCTCTCAGCCTGGGAGATCGGGCCTAGCGTCATGCAGTCAAGAAGACCCTCAGGGTGGTGTGCTCCCAGGGATGGAGTGGGAGGTATTCTTGGTGACACCCTTTTGGTGGAGCTGCCTGCTGTCCATGCCTCACCAGGCTTCGGAAGCTCACACCAAGCAGGGCCCCTCTCGGACTGAGAGCAGAGTGCCATTTCTGAGCCAGCAGTGCTTGTGCTGGTGCCAAGCCTCCTCTCCCAGCCCAGTCAAAGAAAACTGGGCTCCAGTCCTCCAGTCCCCAGCACCACTGGGCATGCATTTCAGGAAAATGAATCTGACCTTTGCAACTGAATTTAGAATTTGATAAGCAAGAGGAATCCTGGGATTCTGAGCTCTTAGGAGAAAACAAAGCCAAGGAGGGCTAAACAAATGCCCTGAGGAAAAGCTGGCCTTTCTCTGCCCTTTAAAAAAGCCCAGAGGCTAAAGGAAGGGAAATCCCATTAGATTCTGCTGGCCTTGGGATCCCAGCTAGATGCCCGGAATTGCATGAATCCTGCCCAGTGTGGGGAAGGCTGTCCCTAGACAGATGCTCAGTGCCAGCCTCTAGGTGTCCATTAGTTGTGGACAGCAGAGGTGGGCGGAGGATGATCCAATGTGGCTGCACCACCTGCTGCTGGTGTGGCTGTGGGCACTTCAGGGTCTCTCTGAGCTTTGGTTTCTCCCAAGCCTGGATCCTGTACTAGAAGGCGTCACCGTGTTGCTAGTGTGTGGAGTTTTGCTGGGGGAGCTGGCAGGGTCATGTATATTAGAGGAAGCTTGGTGGAGCTTTGAATTCTTACAAAGTTGCCCTGCCCTGCTTTAGAGGTACCGGGCCAGCCAGAGGAGTGGGGCAACTTTTCGTTTCTCCCACTTTCTGGGACGCTTGTGGACTCACAGTCCCAGGTTCCAGACCACCTCTGCCACTTACAGCTGCTCCCCAGCCTTGGACAACATCTTCCCAAGGGTCAGTGAGCTCGACTTTAACCTGGGGATCAAGATCTTCACCTTACTGAGAGACTTGAATGAGACACCTGTCTGTCCCAGGGCGGGCACACAGGGTCAGCCTCTCCTCCTATTTCTGTGTATAATCAGTGAATCATTCCTGAGTCTGGACCTCATGCCCCTGTGGGTTCTCTCCCTGGTGGAGCCAGGAGGAGGATTGTCTTTGAAAAGTAGGGCCAGTGGGTCCCAGGTGGTTCTAGGGAACCCCAACCACACAGAGCAGCCCTGGCACCCAGTGCCCCTCCCCCCTTGTGCACCCAGCTCCTCCCCTTGCCTCCAATTCTCACCCATCTCAGACAGGAGGGACACTCTGGCCCTTTGGGATGGGTCTCCCTGGCAGCCCTGGACTGGAGAAAGGAGAGGATTTCCCATTTCTCTGTTTCATTGCCCAGAATGGGAAGAGATGGGGCTTTGAATCTCATGAGACACTTACATCCCAGTCACCCAGGCCAATTGGACCCATACCAAGTAGTTGTTATTCTGGCTGAAGGCCCACTGGACGGAGAGCACCCACTTCCCAGAGGCCCATTTCATCAACCCTCCCTCACACTGTGATTCTTGCTTCCACAAGGCTTATGTCCATTGCCATTCCTTCTGGGATAAAACAGATCCCAGCCAGCTCTTCTCCCTCAGCCTGCCCTTCCCACCCTGTGCTCTACCCCTGCCTAAGGCTCTGGGCCCCCAGGCCCAACATCCTGTGTTCATTGTGGCATCTGACACTGCCCAGAGCAGACATTCCCCCAAGGAGGACTGAGTGGTTGCCCACAACAGACTAGGCCCTCCAGGAGTGGGGCTGATTCCCCAGCCATGATAGGACGGGCAGTGTCCCCATCCCAGCCATCAAACTTGGAGCCTGTCAGTCCTGACAAAGGTACTCAAGTAGAGGTGGGCGTTCTGGGGCCTGGATATCCGGGACCACGCCAACTGGAGTGTTGTAATCCCAGCAGAGCTGGAGTGTCCCTGGAGAGCCTAGGAAGAGAATACTGTTTACTCAGCTCTTGCTGGTGTCCATATCCATTGTGGCCAAGGCCTGACATCCAGCCCTTAGGTGGTCAAGCCAGCAGGGTTTTCTGGTAACCTCTTGTCTCCTACTTGCTGTCTGCTGTGGCTGGCGTGGATCTGTTGGAACTCAGGAGATGGGGTCTTGTGCTCTGCTCGGAAGCTCCTCCCAGCCCTAGCCCCAGCTGATGCTCTGGGTTCTGATGATCTCAGTCCCATCTGATAAGCTCCTGCCCCTGCCTCACTGGCCCTCTGCTTTCTCCAGGAGTTGGCGGCAGAAAAGGCAAAGGCAGCAGCTGGGGAGGCCAAGGTGAAAAAGCAGCTGGTGGCCAAGGATCAGGAGATGACAGCTGTGCAGGCCCGAATGCAGGCCAGCTACCGGGATCACATGAAGGAGGTGCAAGAGCTACAGGGCAAGGTGAGCAGTGGTGTGGGGCCAAGGAGGGCTGGAGTGGTCGCAAAGAGCAGTTGAGGGTGCCCTCGGGGGTGGGGGTGGGTCTATAGAATCTGGTTTGTTTTTGAAGGAAGCAACTGTTTTTATCTGGCCACATAGTGGCAGCCAGCCTACCTTGTATATTTAATGATACTAACTGGGAAAATGTAACATACATTTTAAAGAGCTCTTTTTGAAAATAGTTGGGTCCCAAGTAGCCAGTCCTATGTCCTGTCTCTTGGGTGCCTGTGGGTCAAGTTCTCAGCCTCCATGTGATCCTAGAGTAATGCTGGCTCTGCCTTTTCTACTTGAGGTTGGAGAAATCACCTAAAGCAAAAGGCTCTGGAATGGGGCCAGGGGAGGTGTGTCCAGCTTGGCCTACGGAGTCAGAGCCCTGAACCTCATCTTCTCAAACCTGTGCTCTGCTCATGGTGGGCCATAGGAGGCCAGAGGCAGGATCCCAGGCTTCCTGGGTAGTTTTAGGCTGTGACCATGGCTGTGTCCTTTGTCTCAGACCTCAGGCTGAGAGTGTGTGGAGCATGTCTAGTACTCTGGGCTGAGCACTTTACTGCCTGGAAGCCTCAGAGGAGAGAGGAGGTGTGTGGTTGGGGGGTCACTCTTGGCCCTGAGCTCCTGATGCTAGAGCTGTTCAGTTTCCAGACTCTTGTTCTTAGGGGTCCTGTCCCCCTCATGGGGAAGCGAGCCCTTGGGGGTTTTGTCTGCAGGCTGTTATCTCACTAACCTGGCTCCAGAAGTCAGCTTCCTGTAAGGCCAAGTAGCACTGATACCCATCAATGGTTTTAGGTCCGGACACTTCAGGAACAGCTGGAGAATGGCCCCAACACACAGCTGGCCCGCCTGCAGCAGGAGAACTCCATCCTGAGGGACGCCTTGAACCAAGCCACGAGCCAGGTGGAAAGCAAGTAAGCTCAGTGCTCCCAGTCGGACTTGGCAACAGCACAGCCCTGGGGGCCTCTGGAGCTGGGAAGGGTCCCTGAGCCTCCTGCAAGGCTGCAGCAAGTGCACTCTAGTTTCTTACTGGATCTGGGGCTGCTGGGCACTTCTGCACCTCCCCATTTGAGGCTCCATCCTCCTCCTCCATCTCTTACCTGGTTCGGAGCAGCTGAGCCTTCCAACGCATGGCTGGCATCCTCTCCTGTGGTCAGGCTGCAGGGAGGAGTGAGCTCCAGCACACCCTTGCCCATGCCCCTGTGATCAAGAGCCCCTCAGGTCCTGGCTGGTGCCAGCATCTGCTTTCCTGGACGAGCAGATACTATTTCCATGTCTATCTTCACAACATTCTGATTTGAGGCTTTTAAAAACTCCTGATTGTGACCTAGAGTATCAAGGCTGAGTGGATTGTCCAAGTTCAGAGTTCGATGTGTTGTAGGGACCTGCTGTGGGCCTGAACGCCTTGATTCTCCACTGGGAATGAGGTCTGTGCTGGAGGGACATTTGCTTTCGATGCATTGGTGACAAGTACTGCTTCACAGCACACCGGCCCGGCCTGTTTAGCAGAGTTCTTGATCTCCGCGTTGCCTCTCGGGAGCTGAAGTTCTAGCAAGTCCACAGCAAGTGGGCGACCCCAACAGGCAGTACGGAGCCTCAGCCATGTTCTTGGAGGAAGGCCCCTGCATTTTCTTTTGATTCACATTTCTTTGCCTCCTGTTGGCCTGAAGCATCCTGAAGGGACTTTCTGGGGATCTGCGTTGCCCCCAGAGCATCTCCTTTTGCCAAGAGGAGAACTGACTTAGGCAGAGCACGGGCACCCTCAGTGGGTGTTTTAACTGGAAGTCCAAGGGACAGTGTCGGCCCAGGATCTAGACCAGGGAGGCAAACCAGTGCCCGCACGCCTGTTTTGCTGGTGGGCCTCCTGGCACGGAGTGAGAGCCAAAGGCCACCCTCCCCAGGCCGGTTTCTTCTCTCTGGAGGTCCCCTTTGGGTGTGTGTGTACACATCTCATCTCCCCTGGCCCGTGGGTTCTTCTCTGCAGCCACAGCAGAAGGTGAACGTGGGGTGGAGGAGCATTCTGGCTTCCCATGCAGCGTTTGCTGTGGCCCCTATCCTGGGGAAAGCTCCAAAGCATGGAGACCCGTGGTCCTGAGGAGGCGGCTGCTGACTCTGTCAATTTGTGGGAGATCTGCCCATATGGATGGGTGTTCCCAGGCCCCTCCCTAGCTGCATATCAGTCCCAAGGAGCTGCCCACCCAGCCGCCCACCTTCATCCCTTCATCAAGGGTCTTGGAGTCTAGCAGTTCCAGTGAGCTCTCCAGTCTTGGATCTTGGTGCTGTAAAACCTGAGCTGACGGCCCGCAGAGGGCTTTGGATGGCCTCCCTAGTTCAGATGGGGAAACTAAGTCCAGAGGTGGGACCCTCTCACCGCCAGCAGCAGACAGAGCTGGTCTTGGCCAGGTTTCCTGCCTCCCAGGCTTGTGGACAGTCGTGTCTGGTCTGTCCCTTGGCTGAACCGTCGGTCCTGTCTTGAAGAGCTGTCTAGTGAAGGAGGCCTGCATGCTGATGACCTCTTCACACTAGGAAAGGCAGGCGTTGACCTGCCCCTTTTTTCCTGTCAACCACGTCTCCTTCCCTCCCTCCTGAACTTCTCCCTGGTCCTGAGACCCACCTTTTATGCGGTATTGGGAGCTCTGTTCTGTGAAGGGCCTCAGCCTCCCGCTTCGGGTGGCCTCCAGTGAAACAGGACTCCAATGGGCTGCTGCCCCGAGCCCTGCAGGGGTCCAGCAAGGCAGCCTGCATCCCAGGGCTTGTTTGGACCCTAGTTGGCAATGAGGAAAATTGTGTCTTACCTTTTTCTATCTGAATTCCCAGGTGTCTGGGAGGGGCGCCTGTGGGATCTTTTAGTGTACATTTTGCTCTTTGCTCTCTGGTCCACACACCATGCTGGTAAAACCCCACCTGACTGATAATGCAAGAGGGGCTTAGTAATAGCTCCAAGGTTCAGGAAGCTACTTAGGAAAGAGCAGGTGGCCCAGAGGGAGGGCTCATATCACGGTCCCAGTCAGCCAGGGGCAGCTCTCAGGGCTGGCAAGAGCTGACTCGAGCCCTCTTCTGTCTGTCAGTTGGGGGCTGGTGACTGTCTTGCAGGCAAAACGCGGAGCTGGCCAAGCTCCGGCAGGAGCTCAGCAAGGTGAGCAAGGAGCTGGTGGAGAAGTCAGAGACGGCACGGCAAGAGGAGCAGCAGCGGAAGGCTCTGGAGGCCAAAGCAACTGCCTTTGAGAAGCAGGTCTTGCAGCTGCAGGTGAGTCAGAGTGGCAGCCACTTCAGTGCATTGTTCACCCCACCCACCAAGCCTGTCTGAGTAGCAGGGACGGGTCAGGGCTGCCCAGCCACACACAGTCCTTCCAGCCATGACTGACAGCTGGAGACTCAGGCAGGACGAGAACTGGAACCCTCAACCTTGGCCTCATGAGTAATAGTGATAGCTTGCTAGCTTCAAATGGATTCGTTCTATGGGCTACATATTGTTCTAAGCACTTTATAAGCATTAACTTAGCTAATTCTTATTGTAACCCTGTGAGGTAGGTTCTGTTACTATCTGGAATTTACCCATAGGAAATTCAAGGCATGGAGAAGTTAAGCAACTACCCCAAGTTCACACAAAGGCAAGATTTCAACCTCCAGGTCTAGCCTCAGAGCTGTTTGTTCTCCCACACTTTTTGCCACTTCTGGTACCGCAGCTCTGGCCATGGCCATCCAGACTAACGTCAGCAGCTCTGGCTTCAAGGCTGGGGGAGGGTTCTTCCTTCTCAGCCTCTAGATGTGGCCTGGAAGCTCTGATTTCCCCAGAGGATGCCCTTTCGCCAGAGGAAGGAAGATTGTCAGTCCCCCTGTTCCCAAAGTGTCCTGGGCAACATCTAGTGTGGCCCCCCAGCTGGCCTGTTTCGGGGCAGGGTGACAGGGTGTGGGGAGCCTTGACATCGTGCCTGCTTTTCATTGAACTTTTCTGGGTAACATGGGAATCCTGCCATCCCGAAGGGCATTGGGTCCACTTTCTGCCCAGTCATTAAAGCTAGGCGGTAGCACAAGGGGCATTGGGGCTGTCTTGTGGAAGGGACTAGAATGACACACAAAATTGTGTGTGTGTGTACAAAAGACTAAAAAGGCATATGGACAAATCAACACGGTTTGGGTTGTTCATGTGAAAGCAAGGTGGGTAATTGGTGGTTACTGATTTTCATGTAAAGCAGGTTCACCCAGATGAATGAAATCAGAGCCACCTGGGCAGGAATGGCTGTGATTGTTTTAAAGGCTCCCAGATGGTCTGGTGCTATAACCACTGCCCTAGTGACCAGGGTGTTGCCATTCCACATGCCATTTCTAAGGATCCTGGGGCCAAGGCCTGGGCCTGGCTCTTGTTAGTAAACCCCAAACTCCGAGCAGCTTCTGCCCTTTCAGGCCTCAGGCACTGTTTTCAGCCTTGGGCCACACCAGGGGGTCCATTCTTTCCCTTCTTGATACCAAAAATTCTGGGAGTGGCTGGCCACTGGTGGTGAGGGAGACCAGGGCATGGTGTTGACATTGAGGCCCTTGGTGCCTGCTGTGGGCTTTCAGAGCCTCGGATTCCCCATCTGTAACATAGGCATGACAGTAGTACCTGTCTTCGGTGGCTGAGGATTAACCATGTGGCACATGAACAGTGCCTTGCACAGAAAAAGAGCTCAGTAAATGTGATCTGTACAAAGGCCCACTCAGGAAATCTCCACGTTAGACTGGGGGTTTCTGTTGTAGGAAGCATCTCTGTGCCATGCTGAAATGAAAATGGGGTTTTTCCTTTTTGTGACTACCTTTCACCTGAGCTTCCTTCACCCTGAGCCAGCTCTTCAAGGGCTAGGTGGGCATGGGCTCCTGGCTTTACCCATGGATGAACTGACTTGAGAAATTCAGGCGGGTTTTATAAAGGTCATCGGGGTGGATGGGAGGGTGTTCTGTGTGACCTCAGAGCTAGTTGAGGGTCTGGCCTCCCTTTTGTATCCTCATGGCCCCTTTCCCTCTGCCCACTCCCCAGGCGTCTCACAAGGAGAGTGAGGAGGCCCTGCAGAAGCGCCTGGACGAGGTCAGCCGGGAGCTCTGCCGCTCGCAGACCAGCCACGCCAGTCTCCGGGCAGATGCTGAGAAGGCCCAGCAGCAGCAGCAGCAGTTGGCCGGTGAGGGCGAGGCTTGGTTTGAAGGCCCAGGGGGGTGGTTAAGGTCTTTATGGTTGCACACCCTGAACCATAAAGTGAGCCAGTCCTGTTAGTCTGTGAGGCAGGGATTGTGCCCTGTCAGGGGACAGATGAGGTGCAGGGGTGAGGCTCACCCCCGTGGGAGAGCTGGATTGGGGTGGAGTATGTGAGGGCTGGGTGAGCGGTGGAGCTTATAAAGGCAGGGTGTGGGGAGGACGGGGGTGGGGGGTGGGGGTGGCAGCCTTTGAGGGATGGGTGATGGCTGAAGGTGCTGCCATCTCCTGTTTGCTGTGGGGGAGCCGAGGTGCTCCTGAGGGCATTGCTGGCTTTCTCAGCTGACTTCTTCTGGACCTTTCTGGCTCTCCTGGCTCAGTTAGCTCAAGAGGCCAGGTTTGGAAGGTGGTCTATGGTTCCCCTGTGCTCACAGGTCTGCTTCACAATCAGGAGGGGATGGCAAAGTTGGGGGCACCCGGGGCCCCTAGAGAAAGAAGACAGACAGTGTCCTCAACAGCTCCATGGTCACTTGCTCAGTATTTCCTGAGCGACTGCCATGGGCTGAACACTGCTGTGGGTGCCCAGGGCATGGCCAGGGGTGAAGCTGTGGGCATCTGCGCAATGTTCCAGCAGGAGAGACATAGGTAGATAGACACATGTCGACAGGTCAGACAGTCTGTGCTCTATAGATTTCAAATAGACAGCATGACCTAGAGCAGGGTTGGCAGCTGTTTCTGTGAAGAGCCAGATAGTAAATATTTTTGGTTCTATAGGCCAGATGGTATCTGTCACAACTGCCCAGCTTTGCTGCCATAGTGTAGAGCAGCTCCAGACATTATATAAACAGACAGGTCTGGCTAGGTTTCAATAAAACTTTATTTACAAAAACGGGTGGCCCCTGGGCTCGATTTGCTGACCCCTCCTCTCATCACCAGGGGTGGCTTTAGTTTGGGCAGTTGGGGCAGGTGTTTAAGCTGAGATATGGATGATGGAAGGAAGGGGCAGAATGGTAAGCAAAGGACCCCTGCAAATGGGAACTTGAACTTAGCCTGTACAAGAAATAGAAGGTCAGCGAGTGACTGAAGAAAGCAAGCAAGTGAGCAATGTGGGGCCAGATGGGTGACCCTCCCTGTGAAGAGTTTGGGTGCTGTGTTCAGTGATTGGGGGATGGCATGGTTCCATTTGCACTTCTAGATGCTTTGATGCTGGGTTGAGAATGGACTGGAGGGGCAAGAGTGGTCCAGGGGACCAGGAATGAGGCTCTTGCAGTCATTCAGGCCAAAAGGAAATAGTGCTGGGCCCAGTCACAGAGGTGCTTGTGAGGGAAGGATGGACTCGGCAGACAGTGGATGTAGAATCCATAGGCCTGGAAGATGAGAGAGAGGCGGGAACCCAGGAAACCAGAGCAGCCAGATGGGGAGGATGGTGCTAGATTTGAGTTCCTAAGCAGAGCTTCATTTGGAAGTGTCAGGCGCTGAGCCTGGTGTGGGGATGAGACCAGAGCTTTGGGACTTTGCAGTCATAGACACATGGATGACATTTAGAACCATGGGACTTATCTGAGGTCATCAAGGAAGGACACCCCCAGAAGACCCCTGCCCTTGGTCTCAGCTAATATGAGCCAGTCTCATAGAGAACCAATTTTTAGAAACTGCAACTGAAATCCATTCTAGATTTTCAGCATTTTTTCATGAGTGCTCTGAGGGCATTTTATTCTACCCTAACAAGTCCTCGAGAACAAAACCGAGGTGTGACTTTCTCCAATAGCCCAGGGGTCAGAAGTAAGCCTTAAACTCCAGGCACACGGAGGAGGCAAGGGAAGGAGTCCTCGGTGCCAGTGTGCTGAAGGGCAGGCATGGTGTCCAGCCCGGGCATTTGCTGCCCCTGACCTGCCCTTGCTCCCCTTCTGGCCCAGAGCTGCACAGCAAATTACAGTCCTCCGAGGCGGAGGTGAAGAGCAAGTGCGAGGAGCTGAGTGGTCTACACGGGCAGCTCAAGGAGTCCAGGGCAGAAAATTCACAGCTCACAGAGAGAATCCGGTCCATCGAAGCCCTGCTGGAGGCAGGCCAGGCCCGGGATGCCCGGGATGCCCAGGTCAGCTGGCACTTCCTTCCTGGGGCTGACAGGAGGGGAGGGAGAATGCCATCGAGTTCTGACCTGGACGCCACCACCACCACCACTGTGTAGAGTGATGAGAGCAACCCCCCCCCCCCGCCCCCCGCCCCCCACACACACACCAGTTGCCAAGTGAAGTGAGACTCACAGTGACTAAGGATCTCTCTGTCTCTCATTCCAGGCCAGCCAAGTGGAGGCCGACCAGCAGCAGGCACGGTAAGTGGAGGTGGAGGTGGAGGGCTGCAGCCTCAGCACAGGGTGGCCCAGGACCCTGGGAGCCAGGGCCTTCAGTGGGGCACACAGCTTCCCTGGAAGGAGCCCCTTTCAGAGGCCCCTGCCTTTCTCCATCCCTCCAGTGACAGGATAGGCCTGGTCAGGAAAGAAGGCAGCCTTGCAAGTAGCTCCTTGCCTTCTCTCAAAAAGCAAAACTGATCTGTGTAGAGAGTGCCAGGTGCCTCAACAGGGCCACCTCCTGCCATCTATCCATCTCTCGATTGGGAGGGGCTAGCTGGTCAGCAATTCTCTATCTACAGACTTTAGAGACTTAAGTCATAAATCAAATAGAAAGATGGTTGCACACCCTGAATGGAGAATCTGGGAGGTGGCCCAGGCTTTTTGCGCAGATTGAGGACGTCAGTACAGTTCAGAGCTACCAAGTCGAAGAGTTATTTCACTGCTGGCAGACCTTGTTTTCCCTTGTGTTGGCCGAGCACCAGGGGGTGCTCAGGGACTGTTTGCTGTTATTAAGGCCAGAGCCCACATCTGGGTGAGGCAGCTCAGGCCAGAGGGCCAGAGTCCTTGGACTATCACATCTGGGGTATGTGTCCCTCAGCAGATGCCCAGAGGCTCAGGAGGTGGGCCCTGGCTGCTGTGGCCAGGGGTCCACAGAACAGCCATGTGGGGGTGAATCATGGAGGATATCCCTTGCTCTGGCTGCTGCTACCAGTGAGTCATCTCCTTGTACCTCCTAGCCCATGGCCTATGTTCCCTGGCCTCAGGCTTCAGGGTTTGGGGGCTGGGGAAGGAAGCCAATTGCCCAGAAGGCCCAAAATGCCTGCAGAACCCAGAACCAAACCCTCTCCAACTTCCTTTTCCAGAAAGGTTGGAGGATCTCTGTTTCTCATGGTATTTGTTGGAGTAGAGAGGTATTTGTTTAGGCTTTTGCTGTTGTATTTTAAGGTCAGATTCCGGCCACGCAGCGAATTCCTAGGGTGGTTATCAAAATGTTTTTGGTCATTGCTCACAATAAGTACAAATCTGTATGTCCCCCCCTGGTGGCCATGGCAGCCCTCCTCTGGCAGGAGGTCCTTGGTGGGGCTTCTGTCCCTGGGGCCTTCTTGGTCCTAAATCTTTTTTTTTTTTAATCCTCACTTTTTTTTTCATTGTTTTTCACAGAGAGTAAAAGGGAAGGAGGGAGGAGAGAGAGAGAGAAAGAAAGAGAGAGAGAAACATTGATGTGTTAGAGACATTCGATTGGTAGCCTCCCGCACGTCCCCGACTGAGGCCAGGGATTGCCCTTGACCAGGAATCGAATCTGGTGACCCTTCAGTGCATGGTGTGGGCCGATGCTCCAACCACTGAGAAACACCAGCCAGGGCCCAGTCCTAAATCTTAATGCACAAGGTGACATATCCAAGTGTCCATTTGAAACCCGTTCCTCAGAACAGCTAGTACAGTTACAGTGTCAGCATTTCACTTTCTAGATGATGAGATTGGACAAAGCTCACTGGGCCATTGCATCTGGAAGAAGGGTGAAAAGATGAGGCCTACATCTTGCCAACCCTGTGGTGTCTGGGGGTCGCACCAGGGGCACAGACTGCAGGAGGAGTCCTTGGGTCCCAGCAGAGTTAGGTTTTGGACAAAGGATGGTCCCGCTTTACGCAGTGAGCTGCCGAGAATAGCGGTGCTGAGTCTCTGGGTGTGCAGGCGCCCCATGAGTTTCTAGCTCAGGTGTCCTCTGAGAAGGGCCAGCTGACAAGTTCAGTGGGGACAGAGCAGGACCAGGTTGACCAAGAGCCATGTAACCAGGCAGTGGCTTGGTTCATTAGAAGAAAAAGCTTCCCTGAAAGCCCTACTGTCGGGGCCCGTCCCTGCTCTGGCCCCTGTGGCTGCTCTGACCCCTGCAGTCTCTGTGGCCATAGTCACCAAGTGGAACTCTGGCGGCCTCTGAGGCCTGCACCCTGATCCCTGGGCACTCAGGATGAGTGAGGGGAGCGGGTGGCAGTTTGGTCTTTCCTAAGAGTTTGTGCCCTGGGAGGTGGTCAGGAGTGGGAGGTGCTCCTGGCTAGGGTGGGCACCCAGGCAGAGGAGGAAGGGTCGCTCCCAAGACAAGACTATGGGCATTGTGTGCCCTCAGAGCCCACAGTGACCCCACTAATTCCTTTCAGCCTCAAGGAATTGGAGTCCCAGGTATCATGTCTGGAAAAGGAGGCCACCAACCTCAAGGAGGCGGTTGAGCAGCAGAAAGTGAAGAACAATGTGAGTATTGGGCGTGTGTATGCAGAGGAGGGGCGGGGATAGCTGCCTCTTTACATCCCATTGTGCTACTCACTGCTGAAAGCCTGCCTTTGGGGTCCATCCAGAGTTCCAGGGTAGACTCCCATTAGATCAGCTTGGGTCATGTGTCCAGGCATGGAACCCCCATGAGGACAGAGATGTGCTGATTGGCCACTTTCCTGGGGTCACATGGTCAGTCATCTTGAGGCTAGTGTCAGGAAAAGGGGATGTGGCAGTTCCTCTACTGTGTGTGTGGGGGGAGGTGGGGGGCCGGGGGGGTGGGCAGTGAGCAGAGGATCCTTGGCTGTACCCTCACCCGGCTGCCCACTCACCGCCCCTCACAGAGCCTGTTTCGGGTAGCCCTGTCTGCTGTCCCCAGAGGAGGTTCCCCTTGTACCTTCATGTGCCTGGCTTGGCCAGAGCCAGACAAGGGGTCAGTGCTTACTGTTTGGTGACAGGAACCTCTTTTTTCTTAGGAGCCAGGCTGGCCCTCCCTCCTCCAGAATAGAATCTCCCTGAAAAGATGCCCACCCTCCTCATGCTATGCCACAGCCACCCCATAGTGCTGCAGCACCTGGGCCTTGTGTTATCTGCCCCAGAGAAGCCCAGTGGGTGTGGCCCAAGAAGAAGGCACTTTGTCCCTTTGCAGGCCTCCTGTGGGTGCAGAACAGGGTCGGGAGGCCCTGCTCCACTGAGATCCTCCGAGGCAGCTCCTGGGGGAGGTGCAGCTGCTGCCCCGCCTGGCTGCTGACTGTTCACATCTTCCCCCAGGACCTCCGGGAGAAGAACTGGAAGGCGATGGAGGCCCTGGCCTCAGCCGAGAGAGCCTTCGAAGAGAAGCTGCGCTCCCTGACCCAGGCCAAGGTCAGTCCCAGCCTTTGACGTGCCTGCTAGTGAAGACTCAGTTAGCAGCACAGCCTTGGCCCTGGTGCATCTCAGAGATCCACACCCGGGTCCTCCTCGAGGGCAGCACATGTGCCCGGCTCCAGCAACGTCCTCCTTCCCTCCCTTCCTTGAGTGCTCCCTAAGAGAACAGGTGTAAATGTACTTCTGATTGCCTTTCTCACCTGGGCTCTTTGCCATCAGGGGGCAGAGATGTGCCATGGAGGCTGTGAGTTCAACATTGGGCCGTCTTCGAAACCCTGGTATTTTGTCTGATCCTGCTGCTCTCTCAGGCCCTCTGAAATCATGGTGCAGTAGGTTCTGTGATTGCTCCCTACAGTAAGTCACAGAGGGGAGAGACATCTTTGGCAGCACTCAGGCCCTGAAGTCCACGTTTGTCCTGGGTTCTGTGCAACCCGGGTTGGGGAGAATGCAGGCATCTGTGTCCGGGGCCCTCACATCACTTCTGAAGCCCTGGGCTGGGAGCCAGTGCTGAGGCTCGGGCCTGGGCTGGGGCATGGCCTGCAGCAGCAGCAAGTAGAGGCCTCGCCCATTGTGTCTCATGTCTGCCCTGTTTTCAGGACCTTTCAGTGACTTTATGAATGTGCCCCTGAGACGGAGGTGGAGGGCTGGCCTCAGGTCCCATTGTGGCAGCTGTACCTAGACTCCCCAGGGTGACCTGAGAGCCTGCCTGGCCTACTTGTGGCAAATGCAGAATCTATGACTAGAGATGTCACCTGACTTGCTTGTGGTCATGCAGCCAGATAAAGACAAGAGCTGGCCTCTGGGTCCACTGGCTCTGGCTTCAAACTCCCAAGACTGGGGGCCTGAATGGTGGTCATGAGGTTGGGGGTCTGTGGCAGGCATTGTCTCTGGGTCACTGGTGAGACAAGAAGGGTCTGCTTCTAAGACTTCCAGACCATGCGGGCACTGTGGTCAAGCTGGTGTCCGTGGGCCGTCCTCCATGTGCACATTGCAGAACACCAGTCACAGCTCTTACCCGTGCGGCACCTAGTGCTGCCCCTGGGGCCCAGGCCGTGTGGAGAGTGCGGCTGTGGCAGTAGGTCCACCTGCTGTGGTTATTAGAAAAACTGTCTTTTAGCCAGAAATCTCCTGTGGCCACCCCCACGGTGTGCAGAGAGGGGATGCTATCTGTCTCCAGGGGACGCTGCTGTCCTAGGCTTTGCTTTATAGCTACGTTGGTCCTTCATGCTTTGAAGAGGAGACTCAAGGAGGACCACTGGGGCCGCTGGTTGAGTGCGGCATGGCCCATGGCATAAAGCAAAGTGGGAATACTGATTCTCCCTCCACTATTGCCAGCTGTCCTGCCACCCCTGGCCAGCAGTAGCTCCTAACTTTCGTGGCTACTGGGAGATACATCTTCTCTTTGCCTCCTTGTCAGCTCTCACAGCAGCTTGGACCCCACCCTCCCCATAGTGTGTACACCCCCACCCCCCCACCCCCCCACCCCCGGAAATCAACAACTGGTTTAGCCCGAGTCTCTGCGGAGAGGTGTTGATTAACCGCTGTCTGCCACATGGGCCAGCCTGCTGTCTCCCTTCATTAGAGCGGAATCTGTTTAAAATAGAGGACTGGCCACTAAGGTTAAACACCGCCCCTCAGTCAACCCCACAAGTTGGCCACCTCCTCCTTTGACCCTCCTCCCTCCCCTTTCTGGGGTGGAAACCCCAGCATCTTTGGGGACACCCTCCCGGGATTTACTCTAAACCTTCATGTCTGAGAATCACCTTCCCCCCTACAGGAGGAATCCGAAAAGCAGCTCACGCTGACTGAGGCACAGACCAAGGAGGCGCTGCTGGCTCTGCTCCCAGCACTTTCCAACTCAGCACACCAGGTAGAAGGAGGGGGCTGTTCCCTCAGACCCCACTGCTCATCAAGAATGTCACTGAGCCCTAACCGGTTTGGCTCAGTGGATAGAGCTTCGGCCTGCGGACTCAAGGGTCCCGGGTTCGATTCCGGCCAAGGGCATGTACATTGGTTGCGGGCACATACCCAGTAGGGAGTGTGCAGGAGGCAGCTGATCGATGTTTCTCTCTCATTGATGTTTCTAACTCTCTATTCCTCTCCCTTCCTCTCTGTAAAAAAATCAATAAAATAAATATTTTTTTAAAAAAGTCACTGAGCTCCCTTTGCACATTTTCGTTGTAGAATTATGCCGAGTGGCTCCAAGAACTCAAAGAGAAAGGCCCAGAACTGCTGAAGCAGCCGCCAGTGAACACAGAGCTGCCCTCGGTAAGCATGGCATAAACAGGCCCTCGTGGGGCTGCCCCTTGCTTTCCTGTCCGCAGGAAGGGAGTTTTGGTTTCATCAGGCCTTGGGAGAAACCTCTGTGCTTGGCTAAGCAGACCCCTGTACTGCCCTCTGCCCTTAGGACCTGGCCTCCAAGCTGAGGGAGGCTGAGGAGACCCAGAGCAGCCTGCAGGCCGAGTGTGACCAGTACCGCACCATCTTGGCAGAGACAGTAAGGCACGAGGGCTGGGCCTCTGGCTAGGCTTTTGGCTGGGTGTCCCGCCAAGGGGCTTCCAGGAAAGAGCTTTCTGGGCCTCAGGGCAGGAGGCAGGGTGTTATGGACAAGAGCCCTGGGTTCAGATGCAGGCTGTGTGGGACTTAGGACAAGTCACTGCCCAGTCAGGCCCTATTTCGCTGGCTGAATGGTAAAAGGGATGAGGAAGACGCCCAGGTCTCCATGACTCCCAAACTGTGGAAAGGGCGGGGATGAAGGTTTGGGGCTGCTCTCAGGGGACAGAGAGACTTGGTCAAAACAAGGAACAGTCTGGGAAGGGAAAGGAAGGCGGGACCATTCGGCTGACAGCTGGCTTGAAGCTGTGGCCTCTGGCTCCAGGAAAGTGCTGGGCCATCCTGTGTTCCTCATGCTGGGCCACTAAGGTTCACGGTTGTCACTCAGCCGTGATGAGGATGCCCGTGGCCTCATTCCCATGTGTGGCCCACAGACTTTGTTCACACACCTGCCAGAGGGCCCCACTCCCGGACTGTGGTCCATCTTATTCCCCATGTGACGCTGACTGACCAAATCAGAGCAAGGTGACGCTGGCAGTCATCACAGAGGGACTGAGGGACAGGAAGACTCAGTGGTGTGTTTACGTGGGGTGGGCCTCCACAGAGAGGGCCCTGCCTCACTGCCTGTCCCCCCAGGAGGGTATGCTCAGACACCTGCAGAAGAGTGTGGAGGAGGAGGAGCAGGTGTGGAAGGCCAGAGTCAGCACCACGGAGGAGGAGCTCCAAAAGGTACAAGGCCCTCTGACCCTCGCCAGGGCCCAGTGACGAGAGCATCGCTCCAGGGGTCCACCTTCCTAGGAATCCAAACATAACTTCCTTAAGAAAGACAGCTGGGTCAGAGTTCCGTAAAATCCATGGGGGGAAGCCAATGGCATCATTTGGGAGACAGGAGTCACATTTGCTGGGTTTTGGTGATGCCATATTTATAGGCAATTGCAGAATGACAGATATGTCCTCAACCTCAAGGAGACCACCTTTCCCCCTGCTCACCTCCAGGAAGAGGCTGTGGGGTCATGCTCAGAGTGGGCGGGCACCACTGGGCTTCCTGAGAGATGGGGCTCAAGTTTGACACATGCCTTCCTCTTGCCTTGTAGTCACAGGTCACAGTGAAACATCTTGAAGAGATTGTAGAGAAGCTAAAAGGAGAACTTGAAAGTTCAGATCAGGTGCGTATGGAGGGTTAGAGGACTACTTTCCTTATTACTGAGAAACGTCATTACGAGGCTACCTTAGTTATTTCCCCTGTGGACCACGTGTCTTGAGTGGCCAGGGGATCTTATCAGCCCTGCTTTTCCTTAATGAGGGCCTTTTACAGCCTGAGCCGTTTGAGACCACGTGGGCCGTTAGCAGAATGCCCAGCTCTGGTGAGCAGTGGCTTCTGCAGTGGCCTTCTGAGGCGTGGGAGGTGGGCCCACTGCCCTCGGGAGACATACTGTCAGCCCTGGCTATGAAGAGGGTACTCCTGGTATCCACCCAGCAAGTCACTGTGAACACTCCTCTCCCCAACTGCTGAGGGCTGAGAACACAGACCCAGGAGCACTGGAGCTTGGGAACAATTTTTAGGAAGGGGTTCTGTTGCCATGGTCTTGTTTCTGCCTGGCTTTGATTGGCTCCATAGTCGTCGGGCTGTGGAGGTCTCTCTTAGCCCTTATTTCAGGGCCAGCCATCTGTCGCCCATCACCCTGTTCCCCGCTGGCTGGCTCTCGGCCTCTGACATGTGCATCTGCGTGTCCAGGTGAGGGAGCACACCTCGCATCTGGAGGCAGAGCTGGAGAAGCACATGGCAGCCGCTAGCGCTGAGTGCCAGAGCTACGCGCAGGAGGTGGCGGGGGTGAGTCTCCCCAGGGTCCCGGCCTGCCCAGAGGCTTCTTCTCAGCAGCTCTCATTCACAGGAACTCAAAGTCCCAGTTCTCCGGCTTTGCTCTAGGCCAGTGGTTCTCAACCTTCTGGCCCTTTAAATACAGTTCCTCATGTTGTGACCCAACCATAAAATTATTTTCATTGCTACTTCATAACTGTAACGTTGCTACTGTTATGAATCGTAATGTAAACATCTGATATGCAGGATGGTCTTAGGCGACCCCTGTGAAAGGGTCATTCGACCACCAAAGGGGTCGCGACCCACAGGTTGAGAACAGCTGCTCTAGGCCTTGGGCCAACTGACAGGGCAGGGGTGAAGCTGGGATGGTTGAGCAGCGAGAGAATTCTCCACCTGGCTTGGTGACACCATTCTGGGGAAAATGGATTTAAATCTGATACTGTTTTCTGACTTCTGAAGCAGAAAGCACAAAACTGGCACCCCAATTCTGGTTTGATCTTAAAATTTTGGCCTTATTTTGCGAGACAGTCCATAAACATTTGCAAAAGCTCCAGACGAGATAGACTTCAGAAAGAAAACAGGAGCTGCTGGAGGCCTGGGAGCCCATGTGCTCACTGTGCCCTGCATGCTCTTAAGGGTCTGGGTTACAGGGATGTAGTAGGTTGTACTTGGGTGTTAACTCACAGGCGCTGGTTTTCTCTTCTCTATCCTTTGCCCGCATCATCTGGGTCTGTTTACTTATCAAGTTGAGGCAACTTTTATTAGAATCTCAATCTCAGCTGGATGCAGCCAAGAGTGAAGCCCAGAAACAGAGCAATGAGCTTGCCCTGGTGAGTGAACATGGGGTGGGGCAGCGGCATGAGACGTGGAGGGTGTGTGTGTGTGTGTGTGTGTATGTGTGAGATTAATTTCCAGTCCCGCTTTTACATCCTGTCAAAGGTGATGGGGCCGTGTGCACCAATTTGGTGCTTGGGCCAGGCTTTGATTGGGCTGTGCTTAAAGGGGCTCCTTGCACATTTGCTCAAACCTCTAAGCTGGGCCTGGGGCTGCTGGGACCAGTGTGCTCAGGCCCCACTTCCCATGTCTCCTGATTCAGGGCTGGGTGTTCAGGGAAGTCTGCCCGAGTCCAGTGCTACCTGCAGCTTCTGGGCTTGGCTCGTCTGCCCCCGGGGCTGTCAGCACAGGCCTTGCCCTCTGTGGGACTTCAGGCCTTTTCTCACTGCAGCAGAGGCCGAGGCTAGTTCTGTCCAGCCCGTGGCGGGGAGGCCTGCTCTGCGCCTGGCAGAAGCAGACTTTCAGAGCTCCGTGTGTGCACTTGGCCTCTGGGCCCTCCCAGGTTTCAGTGTTGGTGTCTGATCACAGCCCCCACTCCCTGTCAGTCAGCCCAGCCTTACAGAGGTGAGCCCACTGGTCCCAATACCAACTCCAGGGCTGGGGCTGCAAATAGCAGCCTGTAAGGTCATAGGCATGTGGTTTTATCTACATGGTCGTTTTAAAAATTCTGAACCAGTTGACAGAAATTGGGAGATTTTGAACACAAATGGATGTGTCTGGGTTTCTGTGAGGGGACCGGTCTCATGCATGGGCTGCCATTCCTACAGCAGCATCTGCTGAGCTTGCAGCCTCTGCATGGTGCACGTGCTCCCGACTCCCTGGGGGCCTTACCTGGGACTGTCACACCAGAGAGTGGGTGTCATCCAGACTGAGTCACCGCCTGAGCCCAAGGACCACTTCCTAAAGCAAGATCTGGGTGATAGGCTCCCAGGGCACTGCCCAGGCTGGGGGCACGTGTGGAGCAAACGCCCCTGAGTGCTCATTAGCCCAGGCAGTTTGGCTTCTGCCTTTAGGGGTTGTTGGGAGGAAGGAAGCCAGGGAGCAGGGCCCACACTTGGGGTGTCTGAGACCACCCATGTCTCCTGGAAAACTTGGCCAAGGGCCCACCTAGACCCCTTAACTGGAACCTTTATCTGAGCTTCATGGGTGATGATGCTGTTGCCTCTTCAGATCTGAGCTCAATGGTCTGAGGGCTTGGGGACCCCTAACGTGTCATTTGCCCCCAGCAGTGGAGCTCAGGGGTAGGGGAACCTTATTAGACAAGAATGTCCCCTTGTAATCTTTTCTCGACCCCATAAAGGGCTCTGAACAGGTCTATGTCTAGAAGGAATCCAGGACCTAGGCAGTGTGATGCATGCTGAGCCTCTCAGCGCCTCTCTTTTGAGTTCCTCCGTTGTGTGTGCCTTGCGTCCACCAGGGGTCACCTTGCTCCTGGGGAGGGTTTTGTGCCGGCTGGTCTTGGAGAACACATGGGTCAGGCCAGCCCAGGCCCCTCATTGGTTACAGGTCACAGTAACCAAACCAAGTGCCCTGAGGGTCTTTGGCTGTTGAGAGCATCTGCGGCCCTCCCAAGGGGGTCTGTCTGTGTGCTGGGCATTTGCACAAACCCACCCCTCCCGTTTCAGGTCAGGCAGCAGTTGAGTGAGATGAAGAGCCACGTAGAGGATGGTGACGTAGCTGGGTCTCCAAAGGCCCCCCCAGCAGAGCAGGACCCTGTCGAGGTTAGGGCGGTGAGCTGGTCCTCAGATGTCTGTCACTAACCACCCCCGGGCTCCTCCACCCCAGTTGGAGTGCAGGGACAGTAGGCCTCTGTTCTGGCTAAACTTGCTACTTGCAGCCTCCACTGCCTGCCCTCCCCAGCCCTCTGCCCCGATACCGGGAGTGGGTCATCCAGGCTCTGAGGAAGCCGCAGAGCAGATGAAGGGCAGGGAAGGTGCCAGGTGGGGTGTTAGAGGCTTGATCCTAACAACATGTGCAGAGGGGGATGGAAGAGGGAGGAGGGGAAGCCAGGCCTGTGATTAGGGTCTGATCTCCCACTGTGGCCCTGGCTGAGGCATCACTGGCAGGGTGCTAGCTCTCCAACTTTTGACCCAAGTAGGTGCCGCCAAGAGCTCTCGCCAGGAGGCAGGGGCCTGTCACCAAAGTGGCAGTGGGATGGTTGCTGGATGGGGAGACTGCTGTGGGCGGGGCTTGGCCAGTGGCTCGGAGGCATCCTTGTCTGTGGGCCTCATTAAAGGTCAGCAGAGGTCCCACCGGCATCTCCCTTCAGCCACATCAGCTTTTGTACCCAGAGGCTGAGGCACCATGTCCCTATAGGGGGAGCTTTGGAATCGACTTGGTTGGCTGGCTGGTGGGCAGAGGCCACTCCAGCTGGGCAGAGGCAGGGAGAGGCAGCAACACTAGAAGCAGCTAGAAGGTGGAGCCTCCAGGTCTCAACCTTCCCAGGAGCCCTGGGCTCCCAACAGGGTCCTTCATCAGGTTCCCAAAGGATGTTTGGGTGTTTCCACACAGCTGAAGACGCAGTTGGAGCGGACAGAAGCCATCCTGGAGGATGAGCAGACGCAGCGGCAGAAGCTCACAGCCGAGTTTGAGGAGGTGAGGTCCTGCTGGGGGCCCTGAGCCATCAGCTGTTTTGGGGATGGTGGAGGGTGTGGCCCAGGCAGGTGGTTGCAAGCCTGAATGGTCCCACCCTTGGGGCTGTTGCTGTGCAGTTGGTCACCTGCCTCATGTCCACCCGCTGGAACTGTTATCCCATCATGCTGGGTGCCCTTCCATCCCAAGTGGGCTAGTTGAGGGTTTATGAGGCGACTCCCCGACCCCATTTCGTAAACCCTCCGCCCCTTCTCTGCCAAGGCTCAGAATGCAGCGTGCCGGCTACAGGAGGAATTGGAGAAGCTCCGTGCCAGCGCCTTGGACTCAGCAGAAGCAGAGGCAGCCACACAGTTGAAGGTAGAAGGGCAGCTCGGCTCAAGGCTTGAGCAGAGCCAGCTCTGGGCACTGGCTTCCCATTGTCACCACCTGGAGCAGGAAAGGGAGAGGAGCCATCCTGCGGCCCCTTGGGCAGATGCAGCCTAATTCGGTCATTGGGGGGTAGTCCCTAAACCTCCAGTGTCATATACGCCAGCCACTAGTCACTGTGGCTATTTAAATTTAAATGAAACACAACTTAAAGTTCAGTTCTTCAGTCGCAGTGACCATATTGCACATGTTTAGCAGCCACCACATCTGTCCAGTGCACATCAGAACATCCCAGTCACAGTGGCAGTACTGGTAGATAGGCACAGGCCTAACTAATCTCTTAGCTCCCGATCATCACTGTCTGTCTGGTGAGCAGGAGACCGCATCCTCCTACCTCCCCAATGTGCAGGCTGATCCCTTTCAACCCTCTGATCCACAGGAGAGACTAGAAAAAGAGAAGAAGTTAACGAGTGACCTGGGACGTGCAGCCACCAAATTACAGGGGCTTTTGAAGACGTCCCAGGAGCAGCTGGCAAAGGAGAAAGAGACAGTGAAGAAGTTGCAGGAGCAGCTGGATAAATCAGTGAGTGTCCTGACCATGCAGGGCCACTGGCTCTCAAGGGCTGCTGGGAAGGGTTGGGCCTGTGCTGGAGGCCCAGGACTCCTGGATGCAGGACCAAAAGGAGTCACGGACCTGGGGCAGAAGGCATGGGGACAGACTTCTGAAGGTAGCATCAGGATAGGCAGCACCCATTGGTCTCTGGTGAGAAGCAGTCTGACCCCCACAGCCAGCCTAAGGCCTGTGGGATCAAGGTGCTCACCCAAACTTGGAACCCTCAGCTCCCACCAACTCTAAGGCCTCCCCGCCAGCCCCAGGAGTCAGCTCTGGTTCTCTGATGTGCTGGGTATTCTCCGAAGGGCGTGGAGGGGTGTGGAGGGTTAACCCAGGGGGACTGGAGGTCCCCAGGAGTTGGGGTTAGTGTTCTCCTTGGCTTCTTGGCCCTACCCTCACCCTCCCTCTGCCTTTTGTTCACAGGACGACGGTAGCAGCTCAAAGGAGGGCACCTCTGTCTGAGTCTCCTCTGTGGAAAAAGAAGTTACTGTTCAACTTACCAAAATGCCTTATACATTCCTTACAAATACACAAACCAACACAGCGTTATCCAGGCCCAACTCCAGTGGCTCTGAGAGAAGCCATTAGAGACAGTCTCTTAGAACCACAGAAGTAGATCTTCCAGACCAGACCCCCTGTTTGTAAAAGAACCCGTCACATTCGATAAACACTATTCCCCAGGATCAGCCCTGGACCACCACAGAGCAGACACCAAAGCCCTTATCAGCTGTGACAGACCCCGGGTGTGTGCTGGGGAGGCCGGGACCTCTGGCTGTCTGTATGTCGAGATCAGTGCAATTGTTTTGTCTTTCAATGGGTCGGGGGCCGGGAGTCGGGCAGACCAGGTGTTGAGTCTCAAAGGCTGTGGCACAGACTGGAGGGGCCCGGCCCAGCCCAGCAAGGCAGCAGCCCCTCACCCCTGGAAGAAGTTGCCAACCAGAACTGATACGTGACCTCCTGGATGTTATATCATTAAAACCAACATTGTCGCCCGGCACTGCGGTCTCGTCTGCTATTCTGCTGGGGCTTCCCTGCTGGCTCTGAGCCTGGACTGAGGAATGAAGAGGGGCTGGATCCCTTAGGAGAGAACAAGTGTGGTTCTTGGTTTCTTTGAAGTCAGGGAATTGGCAGCTCAGCCTAAAGTGGGGATGAAATGTGTTGCTTCCAGGTCCCCAGCACTTTTCCCCATTGTGCTTCCCAGGCCCCAGTGCTCACCAGGCAGGAGGAGCAGGCCCTGGATGCCAGGTACACTTTCTGTGGTCCCCACCCTTGAGGATCTAAGGTTACCTAAGCAGGGCTGTGGGTGGCCTAGGCTGCTGTGTGCTATGAGCTCTGAGTGAATAAGAGGGTCTCTGTCCTTCTGGCTGGGGCTTGAACAAACATCCATCTCAAGAGGGGCAGACCAGGGCTGGAGCAGCCATCTGAGACTTCCTGGGATCTTCAGGACCCTCTGTGTCCTTTGTGGCCCAAGACAGCATGGTCCAGAAAACCACTGGGCCAAGAGGTGTGTCGGAGACTTTGTAAGAAATAAGAACCTGTAGCTTAAGCAAAAAATGGATTTAGAGGCCGAGTCACAGGAGGGGTTGAAATACCCCAGGAATGGAAGGTGAAACTGAGCAGCCTGGGTTCTTGGAGGCAGATGTCAGCCATTTCTGTCAAGGGGCTGCCTGAACACCAAGCACTATCCCATGTCCATCTCCCAACCCTCAGCACCCTGGGAGGGGGTCTCATTGGCTGAACTTGGCTGGGGAGTGAGCACTTGGATAGCAGGTCCAGCCAGCCAGAGGGGATGGGCTCCCAGGGAAAGGCAACCTTTCGGCTGGTGGGTTAGACTCCTCTGGCACAGTTGTCATGAGAACCTCAAGACCTTGGGAAGTATTGCACTGTGTATCCTTTCACTGCCTTCAGCCCCCACACACTGAGCATCTGCCAGGGGCCGGGCAGTGCTGACCTTAACCTGCACGCCAAGTCGTGGTCCCAGCTCTCCTGGAGCACCTGGTCTGTGGGCCACCTCCTTGTGCTGTGTGGCGTTGTGCATTGCACTCATACTGGGAACAGGGAGCTGGAAATTATGGGAAGGCTCTCCAGAGAAGTGAGCCTAAGCTGGAGCTGAAGTTAACCAAGTGACCATTATTAACACCTGGCTCTCTGGTAAACCTCCCATTTTGCAAACAATCCCAATGAAAAGAAGGTAACTCACCAAGCAAAAGGCAGGCAGGTTACAAACCCATCTCCAATGCTTGGCAGTGCATCATGCAGCCTGGGGGTCATTTGGAGGGAGAATGCCATCTGGCATGTTCAGACCCCATGAAGAGTGGCACTGAGCCCCATGAACCTCTGGCCCCTCACACTGTACCTTCTGTGTGGCCTGTGCCACAGGAGCAGAGGCTTATTAGCACAGGAGGGCTGGCCCGGTGCGGCACAACTTGTCCTCCCACCCTTACGTAAGGTCACTGTTTTGGGCCATGATGAGTTTCCTCCGTGGGCCTGGGGGCCTGCATTTCCATTAAGTTCCCCACCCTGCCCCACTGAGTGCAGAAGTGAGAACTATGCTGAGCAGATGCCCTCTGAAGGCACAGGAATGGGAGCACCTCAGGGAAAGGACAAGAAACCCTGGGAGTACCAAATGGCTGCCTTTGGGTTCTGGTTACTCCCTATTCCCTTCTCAGACCACCTGGTGGGGACCCAGTGTCTGCCTGTGGGGAGGAGGTAAAAGTGCAGAGTGTGGGGCCCTGTGAGACTCAGGAAAAGGTTACCTGGAGCTCAAGCTCTGAGGGCCCATCATCAGGCCTTCTTCCCTCCAACCCAGCAAGGACTAAGCAGCCCCGAGGCCCAGCAGTGGCATCTCCCAGGCCAGCAGAGGGAGCCCAAGTTTGCCAGGCACCCTGCCTGGCTTCAGTCGGGCCTTGTCACTAGGGCTGTTCCTGGGCAAGGCTTCATCATCAGGCTAGGGAAGGAGAAGAGAGACAATCAGGAAGGTGTGGAAGCAGATTGCAGCATAAGAGGCTGACAGGCCCCCTGGCGTGCCACCATATGGAACTGACATGTGGGAGCCTGGCTCATTGTCCTGGCCACTCTCCTGGCCTGCAAGTACAGCGCGACACCCCTACAGCACTGGAGCCCTGGCTTTGTAGTCACTTGGGATGAAGTTGTGTGGAGGCAGGAATCAGCCAGGCTGGGTTGGAGCATTAGCCAACTACAAGGCACTGGCTGGCCTGCTAACAGGAAGCACTGCTCTCCCAGAGCCTGGCTTCTGAGGCCACGGCCTGGGCGCAGTGCTACTGCTCATCTAGACCAGCGGTTTTCAACCTTTCTCATCCCCTGGTACACATACACTAATTCCTAAAACTCTGTGGCACACCGAAAAACAGATTTTTGCTGACCTGACAAAAATAGGTATAATTTTGATTCGTACACACCAGATGGCTATTGTCATTTTTTTTTACAATCTAAGGGAAAAGAGGTCAGTGCCCCTAAATTCTGGGGCACTGACACGTTTTAAAAATTCTTGCGGCACAGGTTGAAAATCTCTTAGACCACCAACAAGCAGAGCTGGGACTAGACACACTCCACAAATGCCTTCTCTCTGAGCCTCTTTCAGATTTGGGTTTAACAAGATTCAAAGCCCAAAAGAATTGTGTTTTCCTTCCCAGTTCAAGTCACATCCATGGCACTGAATAAGATCTAACTTTAGAAATCCAGGTTAGAAATGAAGAACTCCCCAGGGATTCAAGGGGAAGCGCTAAGGACCAGAAAACAAGAGGCCCTAGTTGCCCTGGTTCTGCTACTCATGAGTTGTGTGACCTTAGGGAAGTTATTTGACCTCTCAGGCTGGCTTCTGAGGGCACTGGCTATAGGCTGGGTAAGTCCCCTTTCTGCTACCCTTCTGGAACTGGGCAGAGCCCAAGGAGAGCCCTGGCCAGCCAAACAGCTCAAATTATATGTGAGCCTGGCTCCTGGACCCCACCCCAGCCACAATGTAATTAGTGGTCCTTTTACCGGAGCTTGGTTTGGAGACTTTTATTTCAGAAATGCCCCAAATAATGAGAAAGTGATGTATGTGTCCTTGGACATATCCAGTCTCTGATAGTTCAAAGAACAACAAAACAGTCAAGAACCAGAAGCTGCACTTCCTATGTGTTGACCAAGCCAGTACTCTGGGTAGTTCTGCAAAAGAAACCACTCAACTAAGCCTAATTCTATTATTCAAGCCATTGTGTTCACAGTTTTCTCAGATTAATGTTCTCTGAAATAACAAACTTCACAGTCAAATTCTGTATTTCTATTAGTAGTGGCTTTATCTGCTGCCAATAGAAATTAGGGCAAAAGAATACTCACTGGATGAACCCTACGCTTTCCACACACATTTTTGTCATGTGTTAACTCAAAAAAATGTAAATATGTTTGCTGAAAGCAGAGTACTCTGCAGTTTTATTTCTTACCAATGTCAGCTGAGGTTCCAAACTCTAGCATCAGAATGACCTGGAATGCTTCTTTAGTAGGATTCTTGGGCCTCACCCGCAGGAATATAATAAGACTCTCAAAACTTGCCCTACATAGAAATATAGGTAACTAACATCTTCCAATTTCTGGAATAAGAGTGAAATGTTGGTAGATGTTTACATTATATCTCTGCACACTGCTTGAAATTCTTGCCATAGCACGTATGACACAGATGTGCACCTGCCTGGCATGGTGGTTAAACCAAGTTGTATCACATGTCCAAGCTAAAACCACAGAAAATACTTTCTAAAACTCCCTGACCAAATACCTGGCTCTAGCTACATGTCTGATTCCTGAGTAGGCCAACCTTGGGCCTGCAAGGCTTTTCAAGAGGCCTGTTAATATACAGTCACTAAAAGCATTGCAAATAGTAAAAGAAGAAATTCAGGATGAAAGAATGACAAGCAGCTTATCAGTAAACCAGTAACCAGCACTATTTTCTAGACAATTTTGAAAAGTATTTTAATTAAAGCCTTTTTTTTGCACCTCAAACAAATCAAAGGATTTAAAAGCCTGATGTTTGGATAAACATTTGGAGTAAGAAAGATTCCCAACTTTCATAACCAACTTTCTCATTTTATAAGAAGAGGGAGCTGTGATCTTAACTGTAATTGTCCGAAATACTCAAACCTCCATAACTTGCCCCATATATGGAAGACAATCTCCTTTTTACCCAACTCACATGTGAATAATTACACAAGAGATTAAGTTAAAAATGCTTCCTTTATTACATAAAGCCAATACAGCTATTTCTAAGTTCAACTGTTTATGCATCTCTATATTGTTCAAAGTGTTATGTCTGTGATGTTAAGACAATCACTTCCAAGTGTCATCAGGTAGCAGTTTTCTATGGGTGTCATCTTTTGTCATACCTGCTCCCCATTTCACATACAGTTGACAAACTGCTCTAGGAAATTAAGAAGTTCTCCCAGGCCCCAGAGTAATCATATACCTAATGTTCTTCCCCACCTTACTGTGCCAGAAACAAAGTTCTGAAGAAGACACAATTAAAGTTTTCACAAGTGTCCTAGCTTATCAATACACCGTTTTATCATTTTCATTAACAAAGTGGATTACAATGGAACGCTAATTTGCATCTTATCTGGTTGTTACAAGATATTGCACATTCTCCTAAGGACAAATGATTCTCTAGATGCAAGGTCACTCAGAAAAGTCTCCCATCTAGTAAGTGGAGAGCTCACCACAGGTGCAAGGAGTTGTTTCCTGTACTCCAACTACGTGCTTGAAATAGTGCTTTGCAAGATCAGCGCTGATTACTGGTATAAGCATTCACAATTCTGAGACAGTCTTCATTACACATCTGGTAGAATTAAGACTGCCTGACTTAATCTTATTGTAGTTAGTATATTAGTGTTATTACATGTGAGAATTATTTTCCATTATTCAGTTTCACTCAAGAGAGAATAAAGAATTTGGGCAATAATTATAACCAGGTTATGACCAATTCTCTAAGCTAAAGAAACAAAGTAATTG